TTTTTTTTTTAATGAAAGAAATCTTCACTGAGCCGTGAAACAGGATCTGAAGTCGGGAAAAAAAACTGTCAAGCTTAAAAACTAACTTTGGGTGGTGATCCAACATCAATGAAAGTGCCCATTGGCGCCTGCAGCGCAATGATCGTGCTATCTTCGAACACTGACAACAAATCGTCTTCGGTCAAATAAGCCAGTTTCAAATTTTGCTGATTCTCAGTAACATTTCGTAGGCTCTGAAAATCAAATCATGCCCATGTATTTATATGATTATTTTCATTAGCATTTTAATAGCATTCCAAATTTTCCAGTACTTTATATAGCAAATTCAGGTCAGTAAGAAGTTCTGGTGCTGCTTGTGCAGATTAATCGGTTTTGAGCTGCGCATATCTTATAAAAGAAACAAAAAAATTCAAAAAAAAAACCAAAAAAAAAAACAAGCAAAATAAACGTGTCGATTAAAAACTGACCTGTTTCATCCATTTTATATGGGTGTCAAGAAGCAGTTCCTGCCTTTCCATGCTTTCCAGTTCCGCTTTTCGATTCAAAATTTGCTTCTCTTCCTCAGACTCCATGTCACGGGAGCAGCCCGGCTGAGGCAGACGCCCACCTCTGCAAGCCATTATTTTTTACGGACCTGTTCGGAGCAAAGAGGCACATAAAAAAAAAAAACAATATGTAAGCAAAACTGTGTACTCACTGCCAGCAAATGATATTTTTGGATCTCTTTTCGATCAGTCCAATGCCTTCGAGTACATTCGTTATGTCATAGATTCGCCTCTTCTGTCGTACTTGCAACTCTTCAGCCGCCTTAAACACATCAAAAAATAGCATCGCGCATCAGTAAGAGCATGCATTTTTTCCTCAACCAGTCACAAAAGCGCCATGTGTTCGAAAGTGGAATTTATGGGACTTGAAGGCTCGTTTTACAGGGGACATGCCCACAAAATTTTAGTCTAACTGGCCTGGTTGGGAAGTTACGAAACTGTCGGCATCAAACTCCACGCGCCCGCAAATAACTTACAAATACTCACATACACAAATATAGATAACCTCTTGCCAGTACATGTTTTTGCATTTGCATAGATATGCGGAAAAAAAAGCATAAAAACGACTAAAAGATTGCTTCTTCGAGAATAAAACTTACTATATTCAGGTCAACGACGCCACCGTCAGCGTTCTGCAACAACTGAACAAATCGCTGAGTGAGAATACCAAGCGATTTCTCGGCACGACAAACCGAAACCTGTGGGGTTTTTGGGTCCCCCTCAACATCCACCAATTCCTCTTCATAAGGAGGAGCAGCGGTGGCAGCAGCAGTAGTAGTAGCAGCATTAGCGGTAGCATCAACAGTAACAACATCCACTGTCTTGTGTTCCTTAGCATCTGGCTGCTCCTGCTTCTCCTTCTCCTTCTCCTTTTCCACCTCCCGCTGCTGCTCTGTGTCCGTCATCGCTGCTCAGCACTGAAATGAGGTTCATGCAAAACGACATGCCTGCTTCAGTACAATAAATATGACGCACGCGCATCCAGCAAATATAATTAGCCAGCGCACCGACTGCTGGTGCGACAGTGCGTTTTTTTTGCACAGTTCCCTGTAGATTTTTTCCGCTAACGGCACTGTTTTTTCCGGCAGATGCTTCTAGCTAAAAGAATTGAGACTGCATTTTAGGACTGTCAGAAAACATCCTCTTAAAACTTCAACTTTCTAGCTTTCCTGGTTCCCAAGTTAGCAAATTACCCGCCAAAAATTTTTGTGGGCCCGTACATAAGAACCACACAAACCTGGGCGGGGAGGGGGGGGGGCAGAACTTGAAGTCACTAAGTTGTACGTGGACGGGGAACATCCCTTTAAAATTTTGGATTTCTAGCTTCGCTGGTTCCCGAGTTAGCAACTAACCTGCCAAGAATATTCGTGAGCCCGTACGTGGGAACCACGTGGGCAACAGCATCCATTTTGGAGAGGGGGCTCTTGCGTGCGTGTAGATCAAGTTGCCAAAGTCCCCGTGTTTCATCCCTTAGCTGCAAACACAGACCGAACTATGCATCCTGGTCGGAACAGAAATCATCAGTACAGCTTCCTACCCGTCATGTACTGAACAGTCATGTGACTAATTTGCAAGACGGATATGTGAATGAGAGAGGAAACAGAGAGAGAGAGGAAAAAGAGTGAGAGAGAAGAGAAGAAGAACACTTACAAAGATCTGGCTTCATGGCCTCGCAAAATGCACTCATTCCGTGGGACTGGGGAAAAGTTGCGAAACTGTAACCTCACACAAGCACCCGGGTTTTTTGTTCCGGTACAACTTTGTGAATGCAAACAAAAGCTTGACAGGTTTCACTCGACATCAAATTTCTTAGCACCATAAATCCATATAACTAATAACTCATACCTCCGCCTCCCCCCTTCTCACCTCTCCTTGCCTTCAACTTCTGTTACTGTGTAAGAAATCAACTACTTCCCCCTCCCATCTACCACCAACCTACCTCCCTCCCCAGCCCTCCCCCCCTCCCAAGCGCACCATCGCAACTCGCACCTCACACATGGACGAGCCGAGTTCCAATCCCGTGCCTACTTCGGCGCACGCCAGCAATTATTAAAACTTGGCCCGGCCTGGTCGGGAAGCTGTTCCACATAGCTGGAGCGGTAGCTTAGGTTTTGGGGAAGGTGGGGAGAAACCGGGGAGGGGGAGGCGGGGGGTGGCGGGGGAGGGAAAGGATGGGGGGCGGGGCCACTTGCTGGAGACCTTGACTGGACGTGGGGACTGGAAACAGGGTTTGCAGGGGAAAAGTTTGCCTGCGGACTTTTCATGCATTTTATGCTGTGTAACAGCAACACAAAACGCATATTGTCACGCTCCCGCGTGCGTGTGTATGTGTGTGCGCGTGTACGTGTGTGTGCGCGCGTGTGTGTGCGTGCGCGTGTATGTGTGCGTGCGCGTATATGTGTGTGCACGCGTGTGTGTATGCGCGTGTATGTGCGTGTGCGCGTGTGTATGCGTCCGGGTGCGTTTTGTCCTGCACTCTTAGCTCGGAAACCAAAAAAGCTAGATAGCTGAAAATTTAGGAGAGTCTCACCCGCCCAGTTGCGATTTCGCAAATTTAAATTCAGCCTTTCCGTGCGCTTGGGTCCCACTTGTGCGGCCCCGTGAAAGTCTTGGCAGGGAAATCATTATCTAGGAAGTCAGGACAGCCAGGAGGGTGATATTTCAGGCGGCTGTTGTCCGTTTATGCAGAGACATCACAACTCAAATTCAGCTTCCACGTATGCTTATGTCTCACTTACGGCCACGTGAGGGCTTTGGCGCGAAAGTCGCTAACTTGAAAGTCTGAGAACTAGGAAGTTTTAATCCGTCCATGTGCAGTCAAAAGGTTTCGCTCCCACGTCTGACGTACGATTATGTTTCATGAAGCGGTAGATAAAATTTTTACTGAGAAATTTCGCAGCTCAGGAACCAGACCACACCATTCTTGCACACATCAAAATGTAAAATGAAAATTCTTAACAGCAAATGTCCGCTGGAGAAAACTGCACAGAACCCATGATCGCATCAGCTATCCTGATGCGCGCCACTCTTTGTTTTATGCTCAGCATAAAAATTAGTACTTTGGAGGGATATTGGCTGCCCAACATCCACTCATTTCCGGGCTGGGGGTTCGAGAAACGGAAATCTCATACCACCGGCTTTTTGTCAAGATAAGGTCTTAGGTGTCGCGTTCAAGACTGCTAAATCCTCCTTTAGCAAACTTTCACGCAGAGCACAAAAAATCCATACAGGCATCCCACC